TGAGAAAAATGTTCTCAGAAATTGAGTTGGAAAAAGTTTTCTTCATAGAATATATAGATAGGGAAGCGTAGTTTTTAATTTGTTTAAGAACTTTTGCAGGCAAAGCTTGCCTTAGAATAAAATACACTATTTTAGACCCTATTCCAATTTTTGACGTGTTTCTCTCATTCTCATGCTCTCATTGTTTTTCTCTGCTACGCTTACACTCAAATTTTAAAGATGTGTGCGTTTTGCCCCCCACTAATTTAATATAAAAATAGAATTCAAACTGGTTTGCTCAATAAGGTCGTGTAATAAGCCAATCTCCTCATTCCAGCCTACCAACCATTGCTGGCTATATGAAAACGTTGTACACACCAAGGGTGCCGGGTTCAATGCCTCAGTTTTGGATGCCATTTCCTGTAGGTGTGGTCTCCTTGTTGGGATTCGCCTCAGCCTGCTTAGCTGACAATAACGAAGCCGTTCATATCTCTGGCCACCCCAAGGGCTAGAACTGAGAATAATTTTCCGTCCGAATTTCTCAGTGCAAATGATCAATTGTCCGGAATGTCCTCCGTGACATCCTTTCAAGTGATTCCGCGGGTCCTAGTGAATGAAACCCCCGTTAGAGTCACCCAACAGGGTATTCCGCAGTCTGGACCACCGGTACCGACTGATGCTGCAGTTTTCGTACCTTCAACTCCAAAACCCTTGCAGGTGATTTCTCCATCGAAACATACATTTGTTTCTTGGCTTCCAAGTGGGTATGAACCGCTCATCAAACTTCCACATATTAGAATCAGTGACCAATCTTCCACCTCTTCTTCGACCACAAATTCAAAAAACTGATATCGTCACTAAAATTTACGTATCAGAATAATAGAGATCTACGTAGCTCTATTTCATAACTCTACTAAACTATATTCGGATAATTCATTGCATCCCATGTTATAGCCTTTACAGAAACTTGGTTAAAGCTGAAGATCTTTAGCTCCGAAGTTTTTCCAAGTAAGTACAACACTTATAGACTGGAATTCCTTTACCTTGAAGGTTCTGGAGATCCTTTACCTGAAGAGGTAACATCCCAAGATTTTGATGATTTAGAACTTATTTGCCTTGAAATCATTTTGTCCGGTAAATCTTTATAAATTACTTGTTCATATATACCTTCTTTGTCTGAAGCCCCCACATACTGGCATCATTTGTCCGCTATTCAATCCGTTTTAAATCTTTTGTCCGATTGTGACCAGCTTCAAGTTCTAGGTCTTTAAAATGACAGAACTAGAGTGATCAAATGTCGATAACTTATCATCTTTATCACTTATCACGCAACATGAATTGCTACACCGCGAGCATGTTTGACATCTCCCTAGGTCAAATTAACCATGTTAGAAGTTCGTTAGGTCGGCTATTAGACTTATTTTTGGTATCTGATCCTGATGGTACCACTCTTTTAAGAGCTTTGCCCCTTTAAACTCAAGAGGATCCATATCACCCCACGCTTGTAGTTTTAAACAAAAACTCTTCTCTCTTCCTCTTATGAGAACGGTCGTGTTTTTTTTTTGTGCGCACTGCGTTTATGATAAATATTGATAAACCGGTGTTTACTTGCTTTTTTGAGAAACTTTAGTTATATAAATGAAACTTTCACTTCGCGTGTGCTACGGTATATTTGGAGACGAATTAATAATATGTTTAAATTCAACTTAAATGGACCCTCCGAAGCTCCCGCTTCGGCTTCCTATTTGGCACAGTGGTTCAAGGTATAGTGTTTGTTTGGTCATTGATAATTTTCAATGCCGTAAATAAAAAAGACGAATTTGTATTTAATTTGTATTCGACTTCTTTCTTACGTTATAAAAAATGTTTATTTCTGAATGCAGATGAAGCCAGATGATCAGCTTATGGTGCATGCAGGGACTCAAGTAGTATACAGAGAGGCCATACAAGTCGCCTCGAAGCTAAAGCTCTCGAAAATGGAGAGGGCGGCCCGACCTAGACATTACCGAGCTAAAACTCTCTATAGAAAGCCCCTTGAGTCGAGCGGCCGAAAGAGAGTCGGTTTGCGATCAACTAAGCTTTTGTATAAACTTAAGCCTAATAAATGAACATTGCACCAAACATTACGTTAACACATTTAAACATTAAAATTACACCGCTGTGCTCCTGCCTGACCCGGCAGTGTTTTTTAACTTTTTATACAGTATTCTTTTATTGTTAATTATTAATACATATAGAATTTAAAATGGTTTGTTCGATGAAGTCTTGTAACATGACAATCTCCTCATCTCAGCCTACCATCCATTGCTGGCTATGTGAAAACGTCGTACACGCCAAGTGTGCCGGGTTCACTGCCTCAGTTTCGGATGCCATTTTGCGTATGTCTGGTTGACGTTATTGTTGTAATAATTGTCGTGCTGTCCAAGACGAAATGATGTCGTTCATGAGACAGACTAAGAATGGATTTGAAGAGTTGATCACTGGTTTTCGTAAAATCAATGACCAGCTCTGTGCGCTTGACACTTAGTTTAGCGGCCTTCAGCTGATAACTGAGTTCCCTATGCGTAAAAACTCCGCTGTTTGTGATCCGCCTCAGCCGTCAATAACGCATCCGCCTATATCTTTAGCCACCCCAAGGGCTAAAACTGAGAAAAATTCGCCGTCCGAATTTCTCAAGGAAAATGAGCAATTGTCTGATATGTCCTCCGTGGTATCCGTTCAAGTGATACCACTAGTAAACGAAACCTCCGTCAGAGTTACCCAAAAGGGTGTTCCACAGTCCGGACCACCGGCACCGACTGATGCTGCTCTCGTACCTGTGACACCAAAACCCCTACAGGTGATTCCTCCATCGAAACCTATATTTGTTTCTATGCTTGCCCCTGATACTTCAAAGATTGATATATCGGCTTATATCAAAGCCAAAACTAAAGCTGATATAAAGGTGGAGGACATAGCTAAATATAAATATAATTATGAGAGTCACAGGTCTTCTTTTAAGTTTTGTGTGCCTGCACAGATGTTTAATACGATTTGTTTACCCAGTTTTTGGCCAGAGAACATTTTCGTCCAAGAATATCTGCCTAGTTCCGTGAAAAAAAAAAAAAAAAGAAACCACGGACCAACCTTCGACTATATCCTGTAGCTGCCATATAACTGAACGATCGGAAATGACCCAACTTTCGTTTTTTTGAAGATAGAAAGCTGGGACTTAGTACAGATTCTATTTTTGGTCAGTTGATCCAACCTACCAAATTTCATAAGGATCGGCCGACTATATCCTATAGCTGCCATATAACTGAACGATCGGAAATGACCCAACTTTCGTGTTTTTGAAGATACAAAGCTGGAATTTAATACAGATTCTATTCTATATTCCGTTTTTAACTGCAGGGGTATATAAACTTCGGCTCCGCCTGAAGTTAGCTTTGCTTTCTTGTTTTTAGATTTTTTATTGTAATTAATTTGTTTTATTGTGATGTAATCATAAGGGTCGGCTAACTATATCCGATGTTTGCGATATATATATCAGGTTTTAACTGCAAGGGTATATGAACTTCGGATCCGCCCGAAGTTAGCTTTGCTTTCTTGTTTTTATTATATTTTTATTTTATGCTCATTGGCATTTATATAATTTTATTCTCTGTGTCCCTTACCTCTTGGGGGGAAACAACAGAGGACAACGATTTTTAAACTGGGCTCTTTTTTACCCAGATCGCAGCCTTATTTTTTTAGCTACCTTGGGCTGAGAATTTTTATTTTTCTACAGGCACTTATAGGTGCCAGTTTAAAACCTGAGTCTCTTACCACAGGGGGGAAAACGTCAGGGTGTCTCAATGGACCAAATTTTAAGAGGAGCCCCAAATAATAGGGTCGCACTCCAATGAGCTCCTTTTGGAAACTGATTTTATTTGATACAATTCCAATTCTTATAAGTAAGATACATGAAAATCTTAAATCTATTTAAAACTACTTATCAACGCACTGCACGCTGACCTGCTATGCGAACCTTTCTCAAGGGCGATGAGCGCACCACTTGAGTACATATGTATTTGTGTAGGCTGCAGGGGATCGGTTTTAAACCATGCTGCTTGACTTGTATTTTATGGGTCCGATCCCTTAAAACTCTAACTTAAGAATTTTTATATAGAATAGTGTTCAATGCTTGAACACTCGATCAAATTTTACCGTTTATAACGCTGTATGTTATAGGAAATATATTCACCGCTGCCCGATTCAATTCACTCAGGTTCCAAAGCAGTTTTATAACTTTGTAAACACTAAACGTAAACTTGAATGTTATAACAGTCATTCTCCGAGAATAGCTTATTATCAGATCTTCTAAGGGCCAAACTCGGGCCTATATCTCATAGCTGCCATATTACTGATTGATCGGAAATGGAATAACTTTTATGAGTTAGAGTTAGAGAGTTTCCGAACTCTTCGCATGAGGGCTACTTTTGGCAAAATAATACGACCTACCAAATTTCATAACGATTGACCGACTATATCTTTTTAGCTGCCATATAACTGAACGATCGGAAAAGGTATGTGGTGTTTAGTGAAAATACCAACTTTGGTTTTTTTGAAGATACAAGTTTGGCAATACAATTTTTGTATTGTAATAAATTGGTTATATTATGATATTCTCATGATCGTCCAACTATATCCAATTTTGGATATATCCGCCCAATGTATCCGGCTTTAACTGCAAGGGTCTATCATCTTCGACTCCGCTCAAATTTAGCTTTCCTTTCTTGTTTATTTTTATTTTAAATAAAGTACGTTTTAAATTATTCTTTTAATGGTAAGTCAATAATTTTAAAACTAAAAGACTAGAGTTTTATCAAAACAAAAACAAACAAGAGTAAGTTTTTATGAATGCAACTGCCAATTCGTAATAGATTTACGTGCATATTTTACAAAAATTTCTGAAATAAAGTATATATTAGTATTAGAAATAAAGTATATTAATAATTTATGTTTTAATTAAATATATTTAATATGTTTCATTTTTATAGGGTGTTCCGGTACTGATATTAGCTAATAAGCAAGATTTGCCAAACGCTTGTGGGGCAAAAGAGCTCGAAAGACTTTTAGGACTAAATGAACTTTCTACTACAGTTCCAAAAAAAACGATGACGAGTTCCAGCTCTTCATCCAGCAATTTAATCGGATGCAGCGTCTCAAACCAAAGAAATATTCAGACTCCTTTATCAACAGAAAAAAATCTTCAATTTTCAACACCAATGGTTAATATAGCGCCGGTTCTTGCTCAAAATATCGAAGGAAACTCATCGATAAACGAAGTCTCTTGTACACCTATTATCTATTCCGACTCAACTAGATTGGATCCATATATTCAAAATGACTCAAACAAGAGATTTTGTAACCAAAAATATACCGCTGCTTTTGATAACTTCCAATCGAAGGGTTGGTATATACAACCAACCTGTGCTATAACTGGTGAAGGCTTACAAGAAGGTTTGGACGCTTTATATGATATGATACTCAAACGTCGAAAAATAACAAAATCTTATAAAAAAAAAAGGTAGTTATATGTATGTTTCGATAATAGGCGTTGTCATATTGAAACTTTGTTTAGCACAATTTAATGAATAAAAATGGATAATATAAATTTTTTGATTTAATGGGTAACTTCTCAGATACAAATTTTAGGGTTTCTTTCGAAAGGCTAAATGCAGTCATTGATCTATACATATCACAAATATCGGATGTAGTCGGCCGATCCTTATGAGAACTTCTGTACATAGCTCGCAAATAACTGTTAACCGATTGCTGGGGTCTCAAAATAAGTGTTGCTCAATGAGTCTTTGAGCAAAAATCTGGAAGCAACCGTTTGCGTTTTTGCTCTCGCTTTCGATATTTTCTATTCCTATTTGCTGTGTTCTGTCCAGGACCGTTTGACTTTGTGAGACGATTCAAAAAGTCTTTTGCATGTATGTGTTTATGTGAAAGCTAGCAACAAAGAAGATGCCACTGAAATACAGGCTGCGAAAAAAAGGAAAATTACATACGAAACAAGTGAAAAATTCATTATAAATGCATGTATAATAATTGCAACCACAGAAGGAAACCCATTTTTGTTCCCGAACAGCAGGGGGTTCAATATTTTTAATTCCCTTTGTATGAACACAATTACTTCAAAAAAATATTATGAGTTTCGTTTCTGTCAAATAAGAGGCCATTAGAGACGGAAATGGTATGATATGAATTAAAAAAGGATCCAGAAAAATACAGAAGGGAGTAGATATGTATTTTGAGAAGACCTTGAACTTGAACAATAATAAGCTTAACGAGGTGACCGAACAAATTAATAAGTGCCGCAAATTATGCGAAACGTTGCGCATTGAAACTTATAGGTAAGTTAAGTAAAAACAAGAAAGGAAAGCTAACTTTGGGCGGAGCCGAAGTTTATATACCCTTGCAGTTAAAACCGGATATATATCGCAAACATCAGATATAGTTGGCCGATCCTTATGAAAATATGATAATATAACCCAATTTAATATAATACAAAAACCAAACCTCAAAATATCCCAAACTTCTATCTTCAAAAACACAAAAGTTGGGTAATTTCCGATCGTTCAGTTATATGGCAGCTATAGGATATAGTCGGCCGATCCTAATGAAATTTGGTACGTTAGATCAACGGACCGAAAATAGAATATGTATTAAATTTCAGCTTTCTATCTTCAAAAAAACGAAAGTTGGGTCATTTCCGATCGTTCAGTTATATGGCAGCTATAGGATATAGTCGGCCGATCCTTATGAAATTTGGAATGTCGTAATGTTTTGCCAAAAATAGCACTCATGTCAAATTTGAACTCTCTAACTCTAAAAACACCAAAGTTATACCATTTCCGATCAATCAGTTATATGGAAGCTATAGGATATAGTCGGCCGATCCCGGCCGTTCCGACTTATATACTGCGTGCAAAGGAAAGAAGGGTGTGTGCAAAGTTTCATGTCGATAGCTTTAAAACTGAGAGACTAGTTTGCGTAGAAACAGACAGACGGACAGACGGACATGCTCATATCAACTCAGGAGGTGATCCTGATCAAGAATATATATACTTTATAGGGTCGGAGATGTCTCCTTCACTGCGTTGCACACTTTTGGACAAAATTATAATACCCTCTGCAAGGGTATAATAAGTAAATATTATTGTATATAGCCTTGTAGAGGATATTATTATATTCGTGAAAAGTGTGAAACAAAGTGAGAGAGACATCTCTGACTGTAAAATTGAAAATATATGTACTATACTATGTACTCTATACGATAATATATAGGCATGCCCTTCTATCCGTCTGTATGTTTCTTTCTACACGAACAAGTCTCTCAGTTTTTAAGCTATGTAAGTCAGAACGGCCGGGATAAGGAGTTCTATAGCTGCCATATAACTTCTGTCTACATCGTATAGCTGTTATATAACTCATTGATCGAAATGTTATTTTGGGTGCGTTTGAAGAAATAAGATTTAATCGCATATATAAATATTCAAAATATCAAAATATATAAATTCAAAATTATACATCTATATTGACAGGTATCAACTTTTGTTCGGCCTTAGGTTAGCTTTTTTCATTTAATATATACGAGGGCTGTCAGATAAATAACCGACCTAACCATGATGCACGCGACTTTTTCAAATTTTTGTTTTTTATTTTTCTACATAGTCTCCTTGTAACTCCACACACTTCTTTCAGCGCTGCTTCCACTTCTGCAACCCTTCCAAATAGTACTTGACGCCTTTGTCTGCAAAACACGAGTGCACGAAGGAGATTGTCTCCTCATTTGACGAAAATCTCTGGCCGCCGAGCGCTGTTTTAAGTTGAGGAAACAAAAAAAAGTCGCTTGGTGCTGAATCCAGTGAATAAGGTGGATGGTCAAGCAGTTCGAACCGCAATTCGTGGATTTTCGCCATGGCGACTGTTGAGGTGAGGTGCGTTGTCTTGGTGGAACAAGACTTTCTTTTTTTTTGCAAATGTGGCCGATTTTTCGAAATTTCTTCCTTTAGCTTTTCCAATAATGATGCGTAGTATGCTCCTGTTATAGTTTCTCCTTTTTCAAGATAGTCGATAAAAATAATTCCATGGCTGTCCCAAAAAACACTCGCCATCACTTTCCGAGCCTAAACACAGCTTTAGGTTTTTTTGGGGCCGGTTCCCCTTTTGCAATCCATTGTTTAGATTGGATTTTTGTTTCGGGCGTATAATGATGAATCCAAGTTTCGTCTACAGGTATCAATCGGAGCCAAAACTCGGTCTTATTGCCTATAAACTGAGCAAACAGAGCGCTGGAAATGTTCATGCGCGCACATTTGTGGTCTAGCGTAAGCAAACGCGGCACCCAACGCGCGGACTCATGCTTTCTCATGCCCAAATCTTGGTTTAATATGGTTTTTTTATACCCTTGCAGAGGGTATTATAATTTTGTCCAAAAGGTTGCAACGCAGTGAAGGAGACATCTCCGACCCTATAAAGTATATATATTCTTGATCAGGATCACCTCTTGAGTTGATATGAGCATGTCCGTCTGTCCGTCTGTCTGTCCGTTTCTACGCGAACTAGTCTCTCAGTTTTAAAGCTATCGTCTTGAAACTTTGCACACACCCTTCTTTCCTTTGCACGCAGTATATAAGTCGGAACGGCCCGGATCGGCCGACTATATCCTATAGCTGCCATATAACTGATTGATCGGAAATGGTATAACTTTGACGTTTTTAAAGTAAGAGAGTTCAAATTCGACATATGAGCATTTTTTGGCAAAACATTACGACATGCCAAATTTCATAAGGATCGGCCGACTATATCCTATAGCTGCATTATAACTGAACGATCGGAAATGACCCAACTTTCGTGTTTTTGATGATAGAAAGGTGGAATTTAGTACAGATTCTATATTTGTTCTATAGCTGCCATATAACTGAACGATCGGAAATGACCCAACTTTCGTGTTTTTTAAGATAGAAGTTTGGGACATTTTTATGTTTTGTATTATAATAAATTGGGTCATATTATCATATTCTTATAAGGATCGGCCAACTATATCCGATGTTTGCGATATATATCCGGTTTTAACTACAAGGGTATATAAACTTCGGTTAGCTAAAAGTTAGCTTTCCTTTCTTGTTTTTTTTTTTTTTTTTTTTTTTTTTGATTAGCAGGGTTAAAAGAAAGTAAGTCTCCTGCTTTGAGAGATAGTGTTTGTAAAAATTTTTGTCGGTTGTTATCATAAACTGAACATAAGGAAAAAAAAAGATTAACAGTTATTTGCGAGCTATGCTTCTGTATCAGTCACGAGCTTTTATCTTTAAATACACCAAAGACCAAAGGAAAGAATGATGAGTGCAACGTTTAAGTCGATAATTTTCGAACTGAGAGACTAGTTCGTGTTCAAAGAGGCAGACATTCGACCAGGTAACGGACAAACGAATATGCTTATATCGACGCAGGAGGTAATCGTGACATGGCAGAGCAAACTCCAACACCAATGAAAAAACCACCAATACATTGCACTATGGGGTTTTTGACCACTTTATGTGACATTTAATCATTTTTTAAAAGTTCTCTGATTTAAAAAAATTAATTAAAATTAATTAAAAAAATAATTTTCAGTCGGCTATTTTGGAGAAGAAGCATCTGAGTCCTGAAACAAGCTGTATAAATCAGACAGGCGTCACCACTCAAGAAAACACTACCGATTACATTCTATCGCTGCACTATGGGGTTTTTCACCTGTTTTTGTGGCATTAATTAATAACTCGGTCAGTTTTGGAGATATCGACATGAAACTTTACCAATCGTTATTATTTTATCCTAGGCACATATAATATGCAAATCGTTCGGATCAGGAAACTATATCCTATAGCTCCCATAGGAACGATTTGGTAAAAGTAAAGATAAATTAATGAAATTTAAGGAGCTGATATTTGTTGCTATTTTAATACGATATAGCAATTTTGAACCAAATCGGACAACGCTTTCCCTGGGAACTGTCAGTTTAAAATACCGGATTTCTGTGTTCTAATTGGATCTGATGTATCCATAGCTCTGTTGAACACATAAGCGCACTATGGTCCAAAAGTCGCATTTTTTGGCATAAAGTCGAAATTTTTATGTTAATGTTTAGTATTTTTGGTTTTAAATTCTTAAAGTTAATACATCATACTTCTAAAAACTTAAATAATAAATCTTTAAAACCTTCACTGAAGCTTTTATGAGCTTTCAAAATCATGCAATAGATCAGCTGTTTAGAATATGGTAATTGGCGGCAAATTCTTTTGTTTACGTTTGTGGGTGCAATTAAAAATTATCTGTCCAAACAAAATCAGGTTAATAATGGAAATTGAAGATCAAGGTGTGTATTATTCACTGTATATTGTACATTTATGTTTAGTTTTACTATTTGAGCTGTGTTTAATGTCCAATTTATGTGTATTTTTGTAGAAAATTAACATGCGTCCCCTGTGTTTCGTGTGTCTGATTGGATTTACGAAAAACTGAGCAAATATCACATAGAAG